AGACAGAAAGAGACAGAGTCAGAGAGACAGAAAGAGACAGAGTCAGAGAGACAGAAAGAGACAGAGACAGACAGAAAAAGACAGAGTCAGAGAGACAGAAAGAGACAGAGACAGAGAGACAAAAACAAAGAGAGAGAGAAAGAAGAAAGAGAGGGAGGGAGGGAAGGAAGGAGAGAGAGAGAGAGAGAGAGAGAGAGAGAGAGAGAGAGAATAAAGAACTATGCCTAAAGGACAGTACTCTGACAAGGGCTCTGGGCTCTTGTTGCTACTTGAAGACTCAGAGATAAAAGACCTCAGAAGCTGGGAAGAAGAAGGAAAGGAAGCTGGAGAGACCTTAGAATGGTGGTGTGGAGACTTTAGGCTCCAGCTCCTGCAGAATAGACCGGGAAGGGAGGCACACCTCCCTCCCTTGGGAGACTCTGATTGACAGAAGAGAAATGCAGGGGCCAGGTGGCTTCAGGGAGTTTTAGCACCCAGAAAGACCAGTTGGTCATGATTTGAAGGGCTGTGGAAGCTCCCTGCTCCCTATGACCTAGCCTTTCTGCATCCCTGACAGGAGACAGACTTTCTGGATATTTCTAGTATCCGGGACACCCGTTTTGGGAAGTTTGCCAAGGTTCCCAAGGTATGTGGGCTCAGAACAGCCTAAACTCAGAGCAGCTACCAGATTCCTGGGCAAAGAGTTCTTGTTGCAGGGTGGAGGGTAAGAAGCCTGACCTCTAGAACAAGGGGCATGGTTCCTGGGCTGGGAAGCAGGGATCTCATCCTGAGCCAAAGAAGGGTTGTCCTGGGCTTGCTCAGGCTCCTCTGGCCTCTGAGCTTTGGAATTGGGCACGATGAGCTGAGGTGGAGAGGATATGGGAGGAGGGGCCACGTCCTGCCTTAGAGCATCCTGCACCATCTGGATGTACCGATTATCCCCCTGCCCCAACTGGTTTGACTATATTTGCCTAATGCTATAGGAAAATTGGAGGAAAGGATTAGTTAAAAACAGGGTTCCCTGAGCCTGGAAGCTAAGAATCCATCTTCAAATGAAAGAGGCAAATAAAATGTACATCAGGCCCCATGGTCTTAGTTCCCTTCTTTTTGTGGACCTCTCCTTCTTCTCCCAGCTGCGAGAGCCAGGGATAGGGGCTGCTAAGGCCTGGCTCCCAGGACAGGCATGAGATTTTACCCCATGGGGTTATAGCTTGAGAGACTGAGGGGGAGGGATAGGGAGAACCTCTTTGGGTGAGATGAGAGGACACCTTTGACTCTCACCATGTCACATGTGCTGCAGAGCCAGAAGCTCCGTGAGGTCTTCAACATGGACTTTCCAGACAACCACTTCCTGCTGAAAGCACTCACCGTGGTGTCCGGCCCTGACATGGTGGATCTCACCTTCCACAACTTCGTCTCCTACAAGGAGAATGTGGTCAAGGTGTGTGAGGAGCACCTGGCTTGGGTCTTGGTTCTGGGGATGGTCTGTACTTCTGTGAGACAGGCCTGGGCCACAGGCCGGTCCAGTGCTCAGAGGCCTGACCGCTGAGTTTTGTGGTCACGTAGGACTGGGCTGAGGATGTACTGGCCCTGGCCAAGCACCCGCTGACAGCCAATGCCCCTCGCAGCACCTTCCTGGACAAGATGTAAGTGCCTGCCTGCCTGGCCTAAGCCAGAGATCTAGGAATGTCAGCCCCTGGTCCTGATTCAGGGCTGCTTTCTGCCCCTGCAGCCTGGAAAAGCTCAAGAAGCAACTAAATCCTGAGGGCAAGATTCCTGTGAAGAAGTGAGTCTCTCCAACTCCCTCTCTGTTTCCCAAGCTCTCCAGTCCATCCCTTCACACCCATGGCTCCTCTCTGCCTGGTGCTTTTCTCTCTCCTTCAGTTTTTTCCAGATGTTTCCTGCTGACCGGAAGCGGGTAGAAGCTGCTCTCACAGCCTGCCATCTTCCAAAAGGCAAGGTGAGTGCTTCCCTACCGCACCCCATCTCTGGGGTTCTCACTTCTATGAGGGGATACCTCAGTCAGGCATGATAGTGGGCGGGGAAGGCCACAATGACATCAGTCCCATCGACAGCCTGGGCAGCTACTGGTTCCTTAACCTGGTGTAGAGGCAGACCAGGGCAAGTGTTTGGAGCAGGTGGCAACATGGGGGAGGGCAGTGGTTGGCACACTGTGTTCAGGGCCTGCCACAGAAATAGCTTGCAGTCCCACTTGAGCCTTGGTAATGAAGGTGAGAGTCAGATGAGGTCTGCAAGGAGCTGGTGGCTGCAGAAGGGGATGAGTTCCACAGGGTGTGGGGGAGAAGAACAGACCCACAGCAGCAGCTGCCAGGACACAGATTTCAGCTCAACACAGAAAAGCAGTTTCCTGTTTCTTTTTAATTAAGCAATTAATTTTTAATTACAAGTTGTCAGCAGGGTCACTCCATGAGGTGCCTTATGTGAATTACCAAAAAGGATCTCTCTGGGGTGGGTAGGGCCCTGAGCCAGGGTCTAAGCCTGGCCAGAGGAGCAGATCACAAGCCTGTGTACCCTGGGCCAGTGCCCATAAGTAGGTCACAGCCTGCACCCCAGAGAGTATGTTCCCCCGGCAAGAATTTAGAGCACTGTAAATGAATAAAACTAAGACCCTACTGGACACCTATTATTCTGAATTCCAGGAGGAATTTTCCCCCTAGAGTCACCCAAGAGTAGCAGTCACACTGGAGTCAAGCAGAGGGTGCAGGTTGTGTGGGGATGGGCTCCTGCTGCAGTCCATAGGGACCCCACCGCTTGCCTGCTATTAGCATACACAGCCTTCCTTTTCTCCTGGTTCCTGAGCTACATCCTCCCTGTTTATCCGCTTTCTTTGTGACCCAAGGAGGCTGCCTAACTATCTTCACTTGGTGCTGAGGCTCCAGAGGCAAAGATGAGCTTAGGGAGATGCAGCACAACTCTTACTCACACCTAATGCAAGCAAGGGACAGTGCTGGCCAGTGTTGGCCTTCCAGTATGACCCCGAAAGGGGCACCGTGAAAAAGCACACCGTTTCTGGATACCACCAATCTACTTCCTGTTTCTATTTCTATAACTTGCCTGCTCTGGGCATTTCACATAATTCATAACTACATAATTAATGTGGTTTTTCACATGAGGCTTTATTCACTTTTTGTGCTATTTTTCAGATTCATCTGTGTTATAGTATGTATCAGTACCTCATTCTTTTTTTATTACTGACTCAGAATCCATAGTATGAATCTAACATTTTGTGTACCTATTATCCGTTCACAGATACTTGCATTTCCTCTTTTTTGCTATCATAAACAGCACTGCTGCTAATGTACACTGTAACACTGTGTATATTATTTTGTGTGGATATGTTTTCACTTCTCTTGGATATACACATACCAGTGAAATTGTTGGGTCATATAACTCTTTGTTTAACATTTTAAAGATCTGCCATATGAATAGCTAAAAAGACTGCACCATTGTACAACCCCACCAGCATTGTATGGGGGTTCCAGTTTTTCCACAGCCCACCAGAGCTGCTACTATCTTTTAAACCATCCTAGTGGGAGTGGAATAGTATCTCAATGTGGGTTATTTGGTTTGTTTGTTTTGTTCCTTGGCCATTGCTATGCTTCTGAGATTATGGCTGGCTGCTCTGCTTCCCCAGCTGACTGAGACCCTGTGGGCTTCCGAGTCTCCTGAGTAGATCGGACTCTAGCTGTGAGCCACCACTGCTGCTCTCATTGTGGTTTTGGTTTGCATTTCCCTAATGACTAATGCTATTGAGCATCTCTTCATGTGCCTATTGCTCATTTGTATGTCATCTTTGAGGAAATAGCTATTCAAATCCATGCTCCATCTTCCCATTGGGTTGTGACTTTATTGTTGTGTTTCCCCTTATCAGATACCTGATTTGTAAATACTTTATCCCATTCTATGGGTTGTTTTTCACTTTCTTGGTGGTGTCCTTGGCAGTGTACAAATTTTAAATTTTGATAATGTCAAATTCTTTCCTTCCTTCCTTCCTTCCTTCCTTCCTTCCTTCCTTCCTTCCTTCCTTCCTTCCTTCCTTCTTTCCCTGTGCTTTTCATGTTTCCACTTATTATTGTGGCTATGATTTCAGTGCTGGTGATCAAGCCCTGGTAGCACTCTACTGCTGAGCCATACTCTCAGCCCCTAATTATTACTGCTGGATAGTCATTTATTGTAATTCAGGATTCTGCTATTAGGTACATATATATTTATAGTCAAACTGCCTTTTTTTTTGTGGGGGGTGTGTGAGGGGAATGTGTCCTTTTCTAAAAAAGAAACAAACTAGCCCCCTGCCCTGGCAAGCCGCACCACTAACTTCAGACATCTCTTCTTCCTCATCCTTCTTAGTTCCCACCCTTTTCCTGCTGAGGGAATTGCCATCTAAACAAGCCAGCTTGGAGCATTCTCAGTCAGCAGCCAGTGCTTTGAGCACTGAATATCCAGGGTGTCCTCTATCTGACTGCCTTGAACATTGTCTGATCGAGTCTCGCTGCACAGAGTTGGGCCAAGGTTGTGGATCTTAGCTCTGAGCAGGTGGGGGCAGAGCTGACAAGGTGACTATTCCCCCAGAATGATGCTATCAATCCTGAGGATCTCCCAGAATCCGTCTTCAAGAGCTTCCTCATGAGCCTCTGTCCTCGGCCAGAAATAGATGAGATCTTCACTTCCTAGTGAGCTTCCTGGGCCAAGCTGGGCACGGGGAAGGGGTGTCAGCTAGCAACCCTCTCCTCCTACCTGCCCTTCTGGGACTGGAAAAAAGGATTGTCTAATCCTCCAGGTCAAGAGATGTGGCCTTATGCTTCTCTTTCTGGTCTGCAGCCATGCTAAGGCCAAACCCTACATGACCAAGGAGCACCTGGCCAAATTCATCAACCAGAAGCAGCGAGACTCACGACTTAACTCCTTGCTGTTCCCACCAGCACGGCCTGACCAGGTGCAGGGCCTCATCGACAAGTATGAGCCCAGTGTCATCAACGTGCAGAGGGGTGAGGACTAGGAGAATTCCTCAGTACCCCATTTCTATTCTGCCCTAGCAGATGGGCTGCAGCTTTGACATCCATCCCTTGTCCTGCAGGTCAGCTGTCACCTGAGGGCATGGTCTGGTTTCTCTGCGGGCCAGAGAACAGTGTGCTAGCCCAGGACAAACTGCTGCTCCATCAGGACATGACACAGCCTCTCAGTCACTACTTTATCAACTCCTCCCACAACACCTACTTGACAGGTGGGCCTTGCAGCCTCATTGCTGACTTCTCTGGCCAGGGAATGCGTCTCTGGATCTGTGGCTATGGCTCAATGCTGCTACACCTGCTGACAGGACAGACTGTGCTGGGGGAGGGGCTGGCCTGCCTTCAAGTGATACCCCCATTTCTTCTGTGTCCTGGCCCAGCTGGCCAGTTCTCAGGCCTGTCCTCGGCTGAGATGTACCGCCAGGTGCTGCTGTCGGGCTGCCGCTGTGTGGAGCTGGACTGCTGGAAGGGGAAGCCCCCTGACGAGGAGCCCATTATCACCCATGGCTTCACCATGACCACAGACATCTTGTTCAAAGTGAGCCTTGTTGGATGGGACGGGAGAGGGTGGCAATGGCAGTAGGGAAAGCCCTGCACCTAAAGGTTTTTTTAGTTGAAGGGAGTGAACCTCCTGGGGAGGGATGTCTGGAATGCCTCAGACCAATTGGGGAACTAGAAGGGAGTAGACATTGTCAACCAGGGTCATCCCTGTGTATGCATTGAACACACTGAACCTGGGGTATTGGAAGAGGCACCCAGGGGAGGGGTGAGCAACTCTGATCATTCTACTGAGCCCTTTCTCCTCCAGGAAGCAATTGAAGCAATTGCAGAAAGTGCCTTTAAGACTTCCCCTTATCCTGTCATCCTGTCATTCGAAAACCATGTGGACTCGTGCGTATCCAGCTCCATTCAGCCAATTCTGTATGAGGTCCCCAGTCTCCTACCTGCAGCTGTCCCACCTCTCAAGCCGTGCTAGCTGGCCATCTAATTCTGCCTGGTCTCAACACAGGCTCCTTGGACCTGTGTCACTGCCTCCCTCACCTCCTGGGTCCCTGATCTGATCATCAGCATGCAAAAGAATAAGCAAGGAGGTTGAGGCTGAGCTGCTGAACCCCACTCTCACTTTGACCACCACAGGCCCCGCCAGCAGGCTAAGATGGCTGAGTACTGCCGGACGATGTTTGGGGACACGCTGCTCACAGAGCCCCTGGAAAGGTTCCCAGTGAGTAAGCTCTGCCATGGGGCACCTGGGCTCAGGGGCTCAGGGCACACTTTGCATGTCAGGAGATGGTGCCCACCCTCTTCCCTTCTCTGCAGCTGGAACCAGGCATCCCTCTGCCCAGCCCTGAGGATCTTCAGGGTAAGATCCTCATCAAGAACAAAAAGAACCAATTTTCTGGTCCAGTGTCACCCAACAAAGAGCATGGTGGAGACCCTGAAGGCAGTTGCCTGTCCAGTGCCCCCACAGGAGCAGACACAGGTAAGTCACCAGCAGGAGTGGGGTAGGGGCTGGAGGCATTTGGACTAGGAGATATGTGGGTGAGGGAGCCTTTGGGAGCCTGCTGACAGCTGTGTCTAACAGTGTGGGCTGCTGAGGAAGGGGCTGAGCTGGAGGAGGAGAAGGAGGTAGAAGAAGACGATGAGGAATCAGGAAACCTAGATGAAGAAGAGATGAAGAAGATGCAGTCTGATGAGGTGTGTAGGGGTCCTGAGTCTCCCGCGCAGAAGCCTCTGGGTGAGAAGCGGGGCCCCCACCATCAGGGCTCTCCACTGTCTACTCCTCCATCCTCCCCTCTGTTTCCTAGGGCACAGCGGGCCTGGAAGTGACAGCTTACGAGGAGATGTCCAGCTTAGTCAATTATATCCAGCCTACCAAGTTCATCTCCTTTGAGCTCTCTGCCCGTAAGTTAGCATGAGGTGGGGAGTAGAGGGTGGGCTCAGAATCCTCACACCAGAGCAGCTTGATGGATGGAGTAAGGGAAGGGGTGTTTCCGCTCACTTGGACTTGGAACTCTGTCTATAAATACCCAGCCGAGGAGTCAGACAAAGCGCTGCTTAAGTGGCAGTGGCTCCCAGTTTCTCAGCACTGTGCTGAGGAACTTGGCAACAAGCAGAATGCTCTGGAGTGTGTCTGTGACAGGCAGGTCATGATGACAGGCCACCTCAGCCTAGCCCACTTGGAGGTCCTGCAGTCTCCTACAGGTTCCGTGACTGCCAAGACGGAACTGCACCTAAGGCCAGGGCACCCCCTACCCCTTCTATATCCCCCTATATTCCTTGATGTTAGGACACATGTGTTCTGTCACCTTTCTGTACATGGTGCCAATAAAACAGCTCTTTCTGGACACTCCAGTGCACAGCTGGGCCTCTGGGACATTAATTCTCTTCCATGAACCCACAGCCTGCACCCCACCTAGGCACATGCACCACATGTACACACTTAGCACACACTGCTTCCTCCATGCACGCAGCTATGGCTTGCATGCCTCGCTTGCCCCTCTCCCAGCCATGCCCCAGCACATGCTCACACGCTGCATGCACATAGCAGGTTCCTGACACCTGAGGGTCCCATACCCTCGTGCCTTCCACAGCCTCTGAGCCTACCCATTGCAGGCAGCACACATCTCATCCCTGGCGTGTCCATTGCCTCCCACACATACCCCCAGAGATTGGCCTCAGCTCCCCAGGTGCCCAGGGCAGTGCTGGGTGTGAAGCCTCTCTAGTGGAGAGAGCTGCCTCAAAGGGGAGAGCAGCCTGATAGAGACTAACCCCCCTCCTTCTCTCCTGCACAGAGAGCAACCGAAGTTATGTCATCTCCTCCTTCACGGAGCTCAAGGCTTACGACCTCCTCTCCAAGGCCTCAGCGCAATTTGTGGAGTATCCTTGAGGGTTGTTATTGTTGTTGTTGTGGTTTTTTTTTTTTCCAGTACTGGGGACTGAATTCAGGACCTTGCACTTGCCAGGCAAGTGCTTATTCTACTGAGCTATCTCCCCAGCCCTCCTTGAGGCTTTGATATCTAGAGTTTCTGGCTGGGATGGGCATTGGGGAAAGGTCTGGGGACAGGGATCCCTGGGTAGGCTTTTGGGTCCTCCTGGGGAAGATGGCCCTGGCTGGGCTCCGATACTCAATGACGGGTACAACAAGCGCCAGATGAGCCGCATTTACCCTAAGGGTACTCGCATGGACTCCTCTAACTACATGCCCCAGATGTTCTGGAATGCTGGATGCCAGATGGTAGCCCTCAACTTCCAGACGATGGGTGAGGGTACTCCCAGGTCTTGGGACCCTGCCCCTGGATCTGCCTGTTCCACCTTCACCCTTCCCCAGAGGTCCTGAGAGCAGACTGTGGTCTTGGTGTTTGTTTTGGCTCTGGGGCACTTGGGCAGGGGTGAGTGCGTTAGCTCATGCTTCCACAGTAGTTCATATACTAACACCGAGGTGGGGAAGCTGAGAGGCTGACACAGGGCTCAGCTGCCCTCCAGGGTGTGTCTGCGGGGACCCCACTGCAGCCGGCAGACCGCTCATGTCATCACTCCTTGCTGACCTTTCCTGAGAGGACCATGCTGCAGAACTAGGCTGGAACATGAGAAGCCCTTGCCTCCAGGGTCCACACAACTCCCTCCATGGCTGGGACAAGGCTGGGATGGATAGGAAGTAGAGGCTGGGGATAGACCTGGCCTAGATCTCCCTTACTGTCTCCTCCTGCCCAAGACTTGCCCATGCAGCAGAACATGGCACTGTTTGAGTTCAACGGGCAGAGCGGGTACCTCCTGAAGCATGAGTTCATGCGACGGCCAGACAAGCAGTTCAATCCCTTCTCCGTGGACCGCATCGACGTGGTGGTAGCCACCACCCTTTCTATTACGGCAAGGCCTGAGGAGGACAGGTGGTGGGGTTGGGAAGGTCTGAAGTCTTGGGGAGAAAGGACTAGGAGCCTGCCCCTCTACCCCAACCCCCTACCCTGTTAGCCCCACGACTTCAGTCCCAGCTAGCTTGCTCTCCCGTGCAATCACAAGTTGCCTTGGAAACTGCCTCCTCCTCAGCACTGGAGGCTGCTTCTTGGTCCCCATGGAAACAAAGGGGAAGGGCTGAAGCTGGGGTGGGGGAGGGGAGAGGGAGTGGGCAGAGAGGGCGGCAGAAGCCCAGGCCCAGGAAAGGCGCTGCTCTCTTCTTGGCTAGGGAGGGAGGTGAGGCAGCCCTCCCCTGGTGCTCAGAGCTTAGCTGCAGCCCTTGAGCCTTCACATGGCGACCAGAGCTGAAGGGAGCTTTTCATGATACCCAACAATGGATACTTCACCTACAGGGAGCCAGAGCCCCAGGTGCTTGGAGAAGAGCCTGGGTTGGGTCTGATGCTGGGCCCCTGGTTCCCCACCTCCAGGTGATCTCTGGGCAGTTCCTGTCAGAGCGCAGTGTGCGCACCTATGTGGAAGTAGAGCTGTTTGGACTTCCAGGAGACCCCAAGAGGCGCTATCGCACCAAGCTGTCACCCAGTACCAACTCTATCAACCCTGTCTGGAAGGAGGAGCCCTTTGTCTTTGAGAAGGTGTGGGGCTAGAGCAGGCAGGGGCTGGGGCTCGTTTATAGAGAAATAAATAAAGGGGACCCTGTCATCTTCCTCCTCCTTTCCCTATTCCTCACCCATACCCTCCTCAGTTTACAGAGCCCTGGATGCAACTGTATAAACATTTGCTCAGTGAGCAGGTTGTTTGCATGACTATATCATCTGTATGCATGCATGTCCACATGTTAGGATTAGAGGCAGAATTGTGAACTCCCAGTCCAGGGCTCAGGGTCCCATGGAATCAAGAGGGTCTGGTGCCCCACTGGACCCTGTTTAGTGGAGCTGCCAAGGGCTGTCTGCACCTTGAGCCTTTCTCCCCCATGCAAGATCAGCCATAGCTGAGCTATGAGGATGTCTTGTATGTGGTCCAGGTCTGCCCTGTGCCTGTGTTGGCTACATCTAGTAACACGTGCCAAGTTCTTTCCCTGACACTGACTTCTGGAGCCAGGGAGACCCTGGCTGGGCACCATTCTGTGCCCCCCACAGATGGTCCTGTCCTAAACTCTCCCTAGATTATGATGCCTGAGCTGGCCTCCCTCAGGGTGGCTGTGATGGAAGAAGGCAACAAATTTCTGGGACATCGCATCATCCCCATCAATGCCCTAAATTCTGGTAAGGAAAGGGATCTTTCTTCAGTGTACCCAAGGGGTCTGTGGCCAGGACCAGCACAGTCTAGGGCATGGCACAGTCTCAGGGAGAGCCCCCTAATGTGGGGCAGAAATAGAGTATCTCTCTCCAGGAACCTAATAGAGGCTGCAACTCTGCCCTCTACCAGGATGCCCATGAGTTTTTGGAACCACTGGCTCCATTTCCCAAGCAGCTGTCACCTATGTGTGACAGCCTCACCAACACATTCTCACTTAATCCTTATGATAACCAGAGGAGGCATGCACTATCCCTATTTCACAGATGAGGAATCTCAAGAGTTAAAGTAACTGCAAGGCATGGTAGTGCATGCCTGTAATCTCAACACTTGGGAGATTGAGTCAGGACAATCACTGTGAGTTCCAAGCCAATCCAGGCTACATAGAAAGTTCAAGGCTAGTCTGTACTACAGAGTGAAGCCCTGCCTCAAAAACAAAAACCCAAACTGAATTAATGCAACTACACACAGCCAGGGGGTATCATACCAGACTCAGACCTTGCCCGGTTAGACTCTAGAGCAAGATCGAGAGTGTAAGCAGTTGTAGGAAGGGGCTCTGGCCCAACGTCCACACTCTCACTTTCAACAGGATACCACCATCTGTGCCTGCACAATGAGAGCAACATGGCCCTCACCATGCCCGCGCTCTTCGTCTTCCTGGAGATGAAGGACTATGTGCCTGACTCCTGGGCAGGTAGGCTCTTGTGGCATGCTGGAAGCCCAGGCTGTCCATCCCTTCACCCCTCCTCAAGCCAGCCTCCAGCTCCCAAGGTGGGTGGGACAGGGACCCTTCCAGATCCATCACCACACCTACCGGGCGGGCAATGCCCTGTGCTCCAGATCTCACCGTGGCCCTCGCCAACCCTATCAAGTACTTCAATGCTCATGATAAGAAGTCTGTGAAGCTCAAGGAGGCCATGGGAGTTCTGCCTGAGGTCTGTGCTGCCTGGACCACTGCCAGGAACCCCAGGAGCTTTGCCCCTTGTGTGGGAGGATGGGGACCAGGGCAGAGCCCCAGCTTAAGGAGAGAGGCTGTTAGACCCACCTCTAACTGCTCTCCTTGCACAGAAGCCTTTCCCATTTGGGGGTCCAGTGGCCTGCCAGGTCAATGGGGCACCAGTGCCTGCCAGCAATGGGTCCAAAGGTAGGCACTTTGGGGCCCACCTTGGGGGAGGGGGCTACACCTTTACCACCACATCCCTAGGCCCAAAGGATGAAGACTTTCACCTGAGGAGGGAAGGACTGTGTCTGAAGCCTCAAGGCTGGGAAAGTGCAATGCCAGGGACTGATTTTGAGGTCCTTAAGGAGTGGGGGACCCAACTGAGCTGCGGGTCCTTGTATGCCTGTCAGCTTATCTTGTCCTGCAGCAGCAGCAGCAGCAGCAGCAGCAGCAGCAGTGGCCAAGACCAGGGAAGGAGCCATGAAAGAAGTTGCAGGTAAGAACAGCTTCGTGCTCTTGGGCATGTCGAGAGGGAGGGCTGTTGGCTCCTGGGGGCACGAGTCTTGCCAGGGAAGGGAGCCTGACCTCCATAGCAGCACACCTTATCCTGGCCTCTGCAGAGCCCAAGACAGCCAGCATGGAGGAGCTCCGTGAGCTGAAAGGCATCGTGAAGCTGCAGCGGCGGCAGGAGAAGGAGCTGCGGGAGCTGGAGCGGCGGGGGGCACGGCGGAGGGAGGAACTGTTACAGCGGGGCGCGGCGCAGCTAGCAGAGCTGGGGATGCCTGGCTGCAAGCTTCGCCAGGGCAAGGGCTCCAGAAAGAAGAGGTAAGGGGCGCAGTGGCGACCAGTCTTCCAAGCACAGCAGCCTTAGACTCAGGCCCTGTCCCCATGTGACCACTGCAGGACCCTGCCTGTGGAGGACACCACAGGGACCTCACCATGCAAGAGCCTTGAAAGCATGGACCCACGCATGCAGGAGCTCAAGGACAGGCTGGAGCAGGAGCTGCAGCAGCAGAGTGAGGAGCAGTACCAGAGCATCCTGAAGTGCAAGAAACAGCATGTGGCCGAGGTGCCAGTCTAGCCTGCTCCACCCTCTCCACACAATCAAGGGCTTCTCACTGAACCCCTCCTTTCTCCCCCTGTGTAGCAAATCACCAAGATGATGGAGCTGGCCAAAGAGAAACAAGCCTTAGAGCTGAAGGTCCTCAAGGAGACCTTGGAGAGGTAAGGCTGATCCTTTGCACACCTGGTCCCCAGAAAGGACTTGGTCCCTCAGAACAACTACCTCATGCCTGTCCTCCTGCAGTGACACCAAAGAGCTAAAGAAAAAACTGGAGAGCAAGAGGCAGGAGCGGGTCCAGGCCATGACCAAATCCACCACAGACAAGATGGCCCAGGAGAGGTGAGCCCTGGGAGCATGGCCCTGCGCCGCGCAGCTCCCACTCCAGAAGGAAAAAGGCCTCCCTACTGGTGGGTCCCATCTCTAAGGCCTCTGATCTGAGAGCCTCCTCCTGAGGCAAAGCCCAGAAGCCAAGTCTTGGAACAGAGAACAGCAATAGAGGGAAGATAAACACAAAGAGAGAGTGAAGCCAAGGGCCAGTGGCCAGGGGATACCCTGAAGGACAGTGTGGTTTTGTGAGGGAGCTGTCCTCTCAGAGGGTCTCAGGTCTCCCAGTAGCCACTACCATCCTCTTTGGTATTCCATGTTGGCCCCTCTGCAAGTTCCTTGACCTCTAATGGAGTTCTTATTTGTCTGTACCTGGAGATTCTACCCCACGCCCTCTAGAGGGGCTGCCTGCTTTTTCTTTTCTTTTTTTTTTTTTTTTTTGGCTGGCTTCCTTGGAGGCGGGGCTGGCATGGCATGTGGTGCCAGTGATCAAACTGCAGTCCTGCGCTTGCCTGAGCTTGCCTACACAGGTGCTTTAGATAGCTGAGCTATCTTGCCAGCTCAGCTCTCTTGCCAGCCCTGCCTGCTTTTTCTATAACTCTGCTTATACCAACAGGTTGAAGAGAGAGATTAACAACTCCCACATCCAGGAAGTGGTGCAGGCCATCAAGCAGGTACATAAAGGTTGTGTCCTTCCCAAACACATGCTTTCTTCATAGGTGGCCTTGGTCCCAAGTCTACCAGAAGGTTAACTAGGTTTGCAGCTAGATTCCAACAGTGTGGGACATGCCATCCTGATTCCCTGCCCCTCTTGTCCACCCAGATGACAGACACCCTGGAGCGGCACCAGGAGAAACTGGAAGAGAAGCAGGCAGCCTGCCTGGAACAGATCCGAGAGATGGAAAAGCAGGTGACAGGACAGCTGTCCCCGCCCCAGTGGCTCTAGTGTGCAAAGGGGCCCAGGCCCAGGGGGCTGCCAGTCCAGAGGTCATCAAGGCCTTTCAAAGGAGGCAGCTCTGCAGGTCTCTGCTTGTTCCCAGATGCCTTGGAGGGCTCCACTACCCCACCTCCCACTCCAGGCTCCTGAGAGCTCTGAATAAGTTGGATATCTTCTTGTTCCTCTGTCCAGGAGAGGGAGAGAGGGTGGGCGGCAAGCCCTTCCTGACCTAGGTGTGCTCCTTGGTGTCCCCACAGTTCCAGCAGGAGGCTCTGGCAGAGTATGAGGCCAGGATGAATGGCCTGGAGGCTGAAGTGAAGGAGGCAGTGAGGGCCTGCTTCCCCTCTGAGACCAATGACAAGGCTGAGAGGCCCACTGAGGTCTTCACAGAGTCCTGTGAGCAGGACCTACTCACAGACAAGGAAGAGACCGAGGAGAGCCGCTTCTGATATCTCCATCCCACTGGGACACCTAACAAGGATGCTCAGACCCTTCTCTAGGACCTGACTCTACCCCCAGTAGGAAAGGACTCCAACATCTGAGGCTGCTGGAAGCTGGGGCTCCTTCTCCTGAGCAGCCTAGCTAGAGTGGAGGAAGAAATAAGATACAGCAGGCACGGGCTCTTCTGGGGCCTACAGCATTCTCCAACATGACTGCCTGATGCCCACCCTTTTCCTAACCTCTGCATAAGTATATATTTGTTGAGGACAAAAGAATATGGGCTGGGAATAGGAAATGGAGTCCTGGCCCTGCTTTACCTATCATAGAATACAACTAGCAATACCTTACCCTGAGCTCAGCTGTCTCACCCAGAGGGTGGACCGACACCTGGAACCTTTGGCTTTGTGCTGATGGTTCAAGTAAGAGAAAACCCCAGGCACTCCTGTGTTGATCTGGCACCTACTAGGCTTCCAGGCCAATCAAGCCTTCCCTGAGCAGGCAGCATTGTCAGCTCCCTAGTCAGAGCCTTGCCCTACCTCCAAGTCCTGGGACAGCTGCCCCCAGGATCCCTCCACTGAGGTTCCTGCCTTCAGCTCCTGCCTGCGCAGAAATGAAGCTGACATGAAAAAGCTCCTCAGCTGACTAGCCCTGGGAGGGGTCCCTAGGATATAGGGCTGTGGCTGTGGGGAGGGGAGGAGGCTGGCCTTTTGGACTCTCCACTGGGAACCTGAAAGACCCCTTTCCCTAGGCCTGGCAGGGGTACTTCCTAGTGCATACTCCACTACTCAGACTGCCTGACAAGATCAACATTATTTTGTCTTCCAAATTTATGAAGTTTATTTATTTTTTCTGCTTTCTACTTTTCCTAAAGAAACCTGACCCAGTATTTCCTGCCTAAGTGTGGCCTCTGTTCCACAACTAGGCAAAGGGGACAGTAGAAGATAGTGCCCTGAAATGAAGCAGGCTGGGGAAAAGACATTGAGCTGAACTGGGGGTGAGACCCTTCCAGAGCCCAGTGAAATAGTACTGCCTCTGAGCTCAAACAGGAGTCATTTCCTCTTCTGCTGGCCCTGGTGCCATAGCCACTGAAAAATATTACTCCCTCTTCTCTGCCCCCACAGATGTGGTCTTCCTTGTCTCTGTCCTCAGCATGGAAGTAAAAGAGCCCAGTGCCAAGGTGTCCCCACCTCCTTACGGTGCCATTTCTTGCACCTTCACCATAGTCCCAAATCCCAAATGGGCGAAGCATTGGCTTGGGAGAGGTAGGGTGGGGTGATTCTGGGAAGAGTTGTTTTCTTATCAGGTGGTTACAGCAGGTGCTATTAGCTGTGAGCACCTGTGCCTTCAGAAAATAGGGACCTCTAGGGTCCTACCAGTCCCTGGCTCATTCACAGGACTAAGACCTGGTGTTGATTTGTCTGTCCCCACCCTCAGCACATACTGGGTACTTCCTGGGTGGGACATCTGTACTTCAGAGTAGCACCCTGCCTAGCCTGGCAGTCAAGTGTCCCATTTTTCTCTCCCTGCTCCCAGGACCTGGGGTAGAACCCCGTAAAGATGATGTTCCAGGCCTAACTCACAGAGCCAGGAATGTGGACAGAGCCCAGAGCCAGAGCCAGTGGAGTCCATGGGAGGCAGCCCCAGCTGTTGCCAAGACTGTCTTCCCATCTCTCTGCCAGGCTGGGTAGTCTGCCCCCGGCTGGTGCAAGTAGCCCAGGAATGAGGGAGGGGGATGCAATTCTGACTCTTGAAGAGGACTGTGCACAAAATCCCACCAGACCAGACCTGGATACCCATCTCCCTGCTTTCTATTCTCCGAAGAAAGGGCAAAGAAGCCCCAAGTAAATGCCATTTCTAGGCCCAGGAGATGAATTAATCTCTGGCCACAGGGGATGCGCAGAGGAAGAATTGATGCCTTCCTTTGGGCTCTGGGGCAGGGAGAGGGCACCTGGGTTCCAACCCTGTTTTGTACCTTTGGGGCAGGTCAGGCTCCCTTTTTACCTTTTTCACAGAGAGAAGGGTCTCTTCTCCCCTCCTGATCTTGTTGCTGACTCAGTGCCAGGTCCCCTGCTGACTCACCCCATCTCTTGCACCCCCTAGTAGCTTTCTGGATCTCCCAGACACGTGCCATCATGCCCAACCCTGCCAAGTTGGTGCAACGTGACAGGGTGAGGGGGCTGGTGACACTTGAGAAGGAAAGAAGGGGGCCTGGGAGGGGGACAGGTGCAGACAGAGTGACAGACTTGCAGACTGAGGCACTTCTGGCTGGAAGCCTTTTGCCTGCCTGGGGCCTGCAGGGGAGAGGCTGGGCAGGTGGGAGGGGAGGGGGAGTATGGAGCACCTGCCTGCCCCCTGCCTGCCTCAGCTCCTTCTCCTGTCAGCCTTCAGCTCTCAAGCGACAGCTTCTAAATCTGGCTGCTGGTACCTCTGTGCTCTGCAGTCAAGTCTCAGCTTTTTTCAGCTTTGCTATTTCTTTTTTGTTCAGAACATAGTGAGCCCTTATGGGAGAGCATCAGGGCAAAGGTTCCAAGGCCTGAGACCTGGCCCTACCACCACCACCCTGCAAGCCTGGCAGGGTTGGCCATGCCAGCTGCGACAAACAGAACCAGCTGTTCTTCCAAATGAGACCTGCCTTAGCCTCTGTTCTTTCCTGGAACTGTCTCCATCACCACAGGGAACAGGGGCATAAATGAAGCTGAGTTGACTCAAGGATGGGGAAAGGGCTGTTTAAGATAAGGAGGTCCCACTCTGGGTTCCTGCTGCTTCTCTCCTCCACTTTGAGGGTCCAGAGCCTGGCCTGCCAGACTCTAGGAGCATTCCTACATCCATCCTCAAAGTAGAAGGGAGATATCTCACTTGTACCAAAAAAGGGGGAAAGTAAATTGAAACTGGGCATGGTGGCACACATCTGTAACCCAGCTATTCAGGAGGCTGAGGCAGGAAGGTCATACATTCAAAGTCAATCTGCACAACATAGTGAGACTCTGTCTCAAATTTTTTTAAAAAAGGTCTGTGGATGTAGCTCAGTGATACAGCCCCTGCCTAGTAGGTGCAATCTACTAGGTTCGATCCCCAGCACCACACACACACACACACACACACACACACACACACACACACACACACGGGGGCACTGAATCCTAAAGGAGAAGCCTTTGTTCAGCTGAGTGAAAAGAAGAGCTTTCTTGCTCACGCTGGGAGTAGAAAGTCGCACCGCAGGCCTGGAGTAGAGAAAGCTTTGAGGACCACACGCCACATAATCATGCAGTGCTTTCCCTGATCTTGCCATGGCATAGGCAAGGCTGGTATTATCAGCTTCCTCTTTCAGATAAGAATGTGCAGGCCTGGGGCCACACTGTTAGCATGTGCCTCTCGGCTGGGACTTTACAGTCGCCTACTCTGCCCCCTCTAGACAGCATGAAGAAAAAATCGCAGAACAAAGAGGGGTTTCATATTCTTGGTTTACTACATGTGCTTCCATGTCAGAGAGGAGCCGGAGCCCGAGGCTGCCCCCCACCCTCCTATCAAAGATGGGCACCATGGAGTCTGGGGGTGGAGTGCCAAACCCCAGACATTTCCCAGGAGTCTCTGGCAAAGCGTGTTGTTTTTGCTTAGCCCAAGCTGAGGACACCTTCATTCTCTGAATTTCCTCTCTGTGGGACAGGACACAGTAAGCAGCCCACTAAACTGTCCTCTACAGGCAATCTTCCTGTTTATGGAGGCTTTGCCTCCTCCTCAAGCCACAACTGGAAGGCCATCCTCACTTCTCAGCAGCCTGCTCACTCACCAATCTTCAGAAGACCCCCAAACCTTCCCTCCCCACTGTCCCATCTCTCTTCCCCTCCTTGTTTTGTATGCAATAGATGTATTCAACACTAGGTCGATCAGCTGCACTTCTTATGTCCCTGGGTTTCCTGATTTACAGGGAAGGACTGCCACCCAGAAGCCAGCTACACCTCTATATTTCCCAGGGCCAGGACCTGATGTCTGGTTCACTTCTTCAAAACTATACATTCAAATCTTACTTGCCCTTCTCCACCTCCCTCAGCTCTGAGGAGCCCTAATTCTCCTGCGGGGGGGGGGGGCAGGCCAAGCATTCCCAGGGCCATGCAGCCAGCAGGTTGAGATGATGAGAGAGATGTAGTGGTTTTCTCACAAATGGAAAAATGTATCTCTGGCTCTCTTCTCTCCCGGGGTTAGTAGGGTCAGGGCCAGGGCTCTCTGGCCTTTAAGTGATTTAGGGGGCGAGAAAGCCCAGCTCTTTAGGGAATTCTTGCTTGCATCCTTTGCTCTTTCCAAAAGAGCGGCCTGTAGGCCTGTCCGGATGGACGCACGGACAGACGGAGCTGGGGAGGGGGAAGGGGGAACTGTGCCAAGGCCTTGGCGTCAGCCCTGACTGCTCCATAGCTGCGGCTGCCAGGAGCGGCCCGCGGGTGTGTTGTCAGCGTCAAAAACGCCTGAGATTGGAGAACGCGCGCCCTCCCCGCTCCAAGCTAGCGTGTGCGGGAGGCACGATTGTGTGTGACTGCGTGATGCGCGGCACTTTGGGTGGCAGTTCCCAGCCAGACCGAGCCCCCTCTTCTCACCACGTGTGCCTACTCCCTCAAATTACTCATCTGCTTTCGCTGCCCTACCCCCCAGCTCGCCCTGGTCCACTGCTACCCTCCTAGGCCCGATTTCTTCTCACCCCGGACAGCGGGAGGCAGGTCTCGGTTTTCCCCAAGGAACTCTCGGTCCCGCCAGTTTCTAAGGAGCCAAGAGCCCCGACTCAGGTGGGGGCGGAGGGTGGGGAGAGAAGCCTGCGACTTTGGGATTGGCCCGGCCGGGTGCATGTGGCCCCCCGGGGAGCAGCCCCCGCCCCGCCAACCGCCGCCGCATTCCCTGGGGAACGCGGAGGAGGAGCCGCTCCCCAACTTCGTGGGCCAAGGAGTGGTGGGGGTCAGGGGCGGTCTCCTCCGCCCCGCCGGTCTTAGCCCTGACGGCTCAGCCTGCTTCCAGGGCAGCCATTGCCATGGAGACCCTCGAGGCTATAAAGGCAAGTATACAGGTAGCCGGCAGCTCCCGCGCTGCTGAGCCCCTCAAGTAGGAAGCCGGCGCCCTGGCGGGTCCCAGCCCCCGCAGGAGGGAAGGAGGCGGAGGAACGGCGCCTGCAGCTTGAGGAGCGGCGCGCCCCGCCAAGGGCTGGAAGCTGGCGCGCGGCGGGTGTCACCGTCTCAGCAGGGAGCAGGGGCTGCCCCGACTGCGGGTGAGTGGTACAGCTCCAAACCCCGAGGGACTGAGGGACGCCGGACCTGGGAAAACGTCCAGAGACTCAGGAGCGTCCGAGTGGGGCTCCCGTGGTATTGTGGCGGGCGGGGAACGGAGCCCGGAGTAGCAAGCGGCGCACACCTCTGGACGGGAGGCCACGGAGGGCGCAGCTGGACTCCAGGAGCGCAGCCCGAGAGAGGTGCGGGAGCCAGAGCTGCCGCGCGACCGGAGCAGCGACCTAGGGACCCTCGGTCGCAGGCGCCCACGCGCAGAGGGAGCGGTACCCCCGTGCGGGAGCCAGGGCGCCCCCGTGCGGGAGCCAGGGCGCCCCCGTGCGGAGCTGTCTGGCTGCCCCGGCGCAGCGGCGGAAGCCATGCTCAAACCCAAGGACCTGTGCCCCCGAGCGGGCACCCGCACCTTCCTGGAGGCCATGCAGGCGGGCAAAGTGCACTTGGCCCGCTTTGTGCTGGACGCGCTGGACCGCAGCATTATCGACTGCCGCGCGGAGCAGGGCCGCACACCACTCATGGTGGCCGTGGGGCTGCCGGACCCCGCCATGCGCTCGCGCTTTGTGCGGCTGCTCTTGGAGCAGGGAGCTGCCGTGAACCTGCGGGACGAGCGCGGCCGCACAGCACTCAGCCTGGCCTGCGAGCGAGGCCACCTGGACGCCGTGCAGCTCCTGGTGCAGTACAGCGGCGACCCCGAGGCCGCCGACTCGTCGGGTAACAGCCCCGTGATGTGGGCAGCCGCGTGCGGCCACGGAGCGGTGCTCGAGTTCCTGGTGCGCTCCTTCCGCCGCCTGGGTCTGCGCCTGGACCGCACCAACCGCGCGGGCCTCACGGCCTTGCAGCTGGCCGCCGCGCGCGGCCACGGGACCTGCGTGCAGGCGCTCACCGGGCCCTGGGGTCGGGCCGCGGCCGCCGCGGCTGCCCGGGGCTCCAACTCCGACAGTCCCCCGGGCCGCCCGGCCCCCGCGCCGAGCCCGGAGCGTCGACGACCCAGCCCACGCCGCTTGCCTCGGCCTCTCCTGGCACGCTTTGCGCGAGCGGCGGGAGGCCATGGTCACGGTCACGGTCACAGCGGCGAGGCCGCCCCAGTGGGCAAAGGCTCGGGCCGGCACCGGGCACCGGGTAGTGAGCGGCCAGAGTTGGGCCGCAGCATGAGCCTGGCGCTGGGAGCCATGACCGAGGAGGAGGCCGCCCGCCTAAGGGCGGGGGCCCTCATGGCCCGACCAAACTCTCCCCAGTCTTCGGGGACCGGCCGGTGGCGTTCGCATGAGGTGCTGGAGGGAGCACCCCCAAGTTTAGTGCAAGTCCCTATCGGCCTTAGTCCCCACCCTGAGGGCGGCCCTGGCTCTGGCCGCCTGGGTTTGCGCCGACGCTCCACAGCCCCAGACATCCCCAGCTTGGTTGGGGAGGGTTCGGGACCCGAGAGCGGCCCAGAGTTAGAGGCCAACGCTCTGCCCCTCTCGGTCCCAGGGCCTAAGCCTTGGCAGGGGGGCACCGAGGCTGTAGCGCTGCACGCCCAGCGGTAAGCAGCAAGGGCCTAGCCCTGCTCCTTCCCGCCCTTACTGCTGGGAGCGAGGACACTGACTTTCAGGTCCTCACCTTCTTGCAGTCTGCCCCCACCCCTCCCAGAACCTATCCCTACTGCCAAAGGGAGACCTCCACAGAAGTAAGAAAGGGGCCCCACCTCCTCTGTACTCTTTGCTATTGCTTGTCTAGATTCCTCACACACCCCACTCTCTCCACCTGTCTTTCCTGTGCCTGGAAGGTAAGGAGGGAGGCTTCCACCTTCTGGTCAGGACCTAGGTTATGGGAATCTGCTGTCAGGCTCCCTTCCCCTTGCTGAGTTTCCTGGCACCTTGACAGCCAGGCAAGCAGAGGAGTTGACTTTTCCAACCCTGGTCTCTCTAGGCTGGAGATAATAATGTTAATGCAACAGATTACCAAACGGTTCCTCTTGCTCAGTGTTCGGAAGGGAGGATTCACCATCTCTAGATGGGAGGGCTGATGGGAAAGGAATCTGAGAGTTAAATTTGTCCAGGGTAAAAACTTCTGCTTCAAGACAAAACATTTTGGGGGTGGCAAAGCCTCTGGTGTTGGCCACCAGTTGTTCTTTCCACCAGCTTCAGGATAATAAGTTTCCTCTGCCTCTTACCCCTTGATTCAACCCCATTGACAGTGTAGGGTCATGCCTCTCCCAAGCCCCCGACCAGCCAGCCAGCCCACTCCTCAGCTCTAATGAATTTAAAGTCCATCTTGGTGGGTCAACGCCTCACTCCCTGCCGGCCCAGTCTTAATTCCACGCACTCCCTTGCCAGAAGCTCGAAATGGAAAGGATTTAGCACTTCCCCGCCCCCCACCGCCTCCCAGCTCGCTCGATCCGCACGTGGGTGCTCGGGCAGGGTAGAACGGTTGCGAAGGCTTTTTACTTAATTGCATTTCTTCCAACCCTCAAAGAATTCGTGTTTTGAAGCTTTGTATATGAAGCTGAAAGCAGCAGGCCTGATCCGAGGCTTAAGAACCTGACAATATCTCTTTAAATAGAAGCTCCGCGAGGGGGATAATTGACTGAAGTGTTTGCGACGTTAACCGGCGGGCGCGCGGGAGTCGGAGCCCACATGAGCCGCAGGTCCCGATTTAAATTACATCCGACTTCGGAGAGCTGAAAGGGGCCAGTTCAGCGTCTCCTGCTCCTCGCTGGGCTGTTAATGGAGGGCAGGGCGAATGTTAGAGGTCGAGACCAAGGACCCCCGCCTCTGCCCCACCGCGTGGGACGCAGGCCCTGCCCAGCTTCCAGCTTTTATTACGGGGCAGATTGGTGACTCACAGGGACCTGTGGAGAGGTGGTGAAAGGCCTTTGCCGGTTGTGCCCTTTGTCTCCTCCTCCCGCCCTCGCCCTCCCACTAGATTTCCTCCTAGCGAGGGGGCGGGTATAGGGGAGGTGACAGATCGCGTGCTCTAAGAGCCGGCGAAAGCGCGGGCAAGGGTGTCTGTGCGCCAGCCCGCGGGGTTGCTGCAGTTGGGGGTCTTTGTGAATCCCCTCGCCTGCCTGCAACATCGTCGATGTACTGGTCTGCAGAACAGAAGGTTCTCGCCGATAACTCCGAGGAAGCCGCGGGTAGCGGGAAGGACGCTGCAGAGAAGACAGGGCTGGGGCGAGCGCGGGAGCGTGGCGAGCGCAGGCGGTGCGCGCCTCCCCTCCAGCCCGGTGGCTTGTCCCGCGGCGCGACCGCACCCTGGTGGCTAGCGATCTCCCCGCTTCTCACCGGCCCAGTCTTCTGATTTTGTGGGTATCGCTAACGTGTATTCTTTCCGTGGGCATTAACACTAAATCCGGATACTTGAAGTCACTTCACAGCAGAGAAGTGTGGGACAGCAGACCAAGAACTGTAACAACAAAAACGCCCATTGAGTGTAGCAGGAGCCCAGACCCCTCACTTAAGAACTCCAAATTAATCCTTGAGTTAAGGTTCCCTGTCCTGAGAGCTGCTGTCTTCTGAAAAAGCTGTAGCTTCCAGTCCTCCTTTTTCTGAGCACTGGAACCTGCCAGTTACACGCAGTTTCCTTATAGTTGTTTTCTCTTCTGAAGTGTGCTGCCTTTTCCCTCCTTGCCCCAGACGTCTTCTGTCCTTTGTCCCCAGTCTGGATGAAGGGTGACTAACACCAGAGCGCCAGCAATCCCTGAGAGTCTTGCATAGGGTGGGGATAACCCGACACTCCTAACTCAAAACTGCTTTTTTGTGATCTTTGCTTGCTCAATTTACTGCCCTTTCCATTGTGCTCAATGAAGCTGTTCAGTGGTGTCAGGATACAAGTATTTTGGCCTGAAACAGCCGGAGGTCTGGGACACATTGTATCAGAGGCCATGGACATGTGGGTGAATGTCACCTTTGGCTCTCTCTGTTGGAAAAACAGCTCTGTGGAAGACCTAGAGCTGAGTGGTTGATAGAAAGTGATGTCTCTAAAAACAAACTTTGGCTCTCTGCTGTCTGAATTGAGCTGCTGTCTGACTGCTTTGCTGTCCTTACCCACCTTCCTTATGGGCCCAGCTCACCACTGCAGAACATGTTTCACAGGAGCACTCTGCTCCCGCCCCCCCCCAACTTCCTCTCATTGTCAGCCCTAGGGCGCCAAGGCTGGGGTCTTCTCTAGGTCCCTCCCATAGAAGACTTTGCTAAGCAGTTTGCTCTTCCTACTCATTTCTTTTGTCAGTGTGAAGAATCACCCAGGCCACTGAAGCTCAGTGCTTGTGGGTGTGGGAGGCTGAAGGACATACACACTCCCCCTCCCCTGGAGTGATACTGTGTGGTATACGGACCAGTCAAGAGAATAGCTAATAAACCCAGTATTATTCCATCATGAGAACTGGCCTGTCTCTGCCTTACCACCCATGCCCGACTTGTGGCTCCCTTTGTAGGGATGGAAGGATGCTTGCTTGCTGTACCAACTGCCTGTCCTTGTCAGCCCCCTCCCTGGCTTCTGAAGGCTGAAGGGGCTGGGGCTGCAGGGCCAGCACTGCTATCTGGGGAAGTGGTGTGGGGCCCAAGGGGAAGGTCTGCATGGCTGTTTGCTCCCAGCAGGAAGGTGATTGTGACCCCCTGGGCTGGGTGTGGGTCTCAGAAAGGGAGCACTAGAGTTAGTGTGGGAGTGGAAGTTGAAAGCAGCTTTTCCCACCCCCCACCCCACATTGCTTGATTTCTAGCCTTTCTCTGTGCTGTCCCAAAGTTGCTCCATCTGACTCAGTTCTGGGAAATGATGAAACACTGCTTCTCACTGGCAGCCAGAGGTCTAGGGCATGAGAAGCAAACCTGGGACGGGAGAGGCTGATGCACAGTGCCTAGCCATCCCCTGAAGCTTTCTGAGGGCCAGGCCCTTCTCCTTCCAGGAAGGAGTCTTGTTTCTCATCTGCTTCAGTCCCAAGGGCCTTTCACTTCCTTTCCCTCTTTCTCTGCCCTCACTTCAGGCCCACATGTCAACAGGGAAGCTGGGTATTCTGAGGACTCAAGTGACTTCGTGCTGGGCTATTCCGAGAACCACTCCAAGCTGTCCAGGTCCAAGACAGTCTGATTCCAATCTCAGAGACACCAGGAAGCCCAGAGGTTTGAACACTCAGTTTAATTTAAAACAGGCACAAGTGCAAACAATTCACAAAAATTTTCTAGGGAAGATGCTTTTGTTTTTAAAACTCTGACCTTTAAAAAAAAAAAGTCCTTGCAATTTCTTTGCCCTAAAGCAGGCCACAAGGGGACAGAGGAATCTAAAAATATGATCTGGATTGAGTCCTGACACCTGGTATTTCCCTGGCTTTCCCTGTCCCACAACAGCCTGGAAGGCAGGGAGGGAGGACAAGGTGGCAGGTGTCTGCTGCAGAGGCAGCAGGGGACAGCAGGTTCACACAATGGGGTGTCCCATTTCTTCAGGGTGATGGAACCCCAGGTGGTGGTTTGCCTCCTGCCCCAACCTGGGATTCTAAAAAGAACGACAGGTCTCTGATGACCTGGATAAAAGATGAAGGTGACAGATGAAACAAAGTTTATTCCCTTATCTCTTGTCTCTGGCTCTCAGACTCCACAGTATATGAGAACCTCAGAGGTCTCACGAGTACCCAGCAAGTGTTAGACTCCATTTAAACCCCTTTGCTGGTTAGGGAGAAACATGGAACTTGAGAGCCAGGCTAAAAAAACAAGACCTTCAGAGTGGACTTTGGTGGGAAGATGTGGCAGCCCCCTGAAGCTGGCTGTGGGTAACCAAAGGGACCCAGCCCATTGGGGCGACCTTCCTTCCCTTACTCATGTGCACACGATGTTCTCTCCATACTGTAAAGTGAGGCCACTTTTACCACTAATTGCATTCTTTCACTCAGAAAATGCCCCCCGCCACCCCTTCTCCTGTGGCCAAGATGCAGGCCACCCACAGCTATAAGCAGGCTGTGGAGGGAGGGTGGTTCAGGGGGACAGGAGCAGGTGAGGAAGGGGAATGCCTGCAGGAAGTCAGGCCAAGGTGGGGGGAAAGAGGATTCGGGTAATAGAAACCTTCCCAGGGCCTTCTGAGATGCCAAGGTTTGAAGATGGAGCTGAGAACAGCAAGTATTGACATGAGATGGGCAGCTGGCCCTCTGGGAAAGCCCAGGGTGCTAGTGTACTACTACTACCTTTAAAAATCCCACAGCAGCCTGTTCTGCTGTGCTGGCCACAGAGGCCAGGAGCGCTGGTCTCCAGGTTTCTTAGAAATATTCCTGTGCAAATAACAAGGGGTCATCCTGCAGAAGGGGTCTCGATCATCCCAAAGGAAGTAGGGACTGTGGGGACGGAGCGAGACTCATGGGGCAGGTCCAGCCTGGCCCAATGGGCAGAATGGCAGGAGCATAGGGGTGGGACTTCACATTCAATCTTTGGAGAGAATACTGAGAGAATGAGGCAGGCGGGCCCTGCCAGCAAGCTGGCTGCCCAGTGTCCCCTGCCTGTGGGCACAGGTGGCAGGCGCACTTTGAGGGTGGGCTCAGCAGGTGGAGGTCTGCTTGCGGTAGAGCTGAATTAGGGGCACCAGGCACTCAGGCAGCCCCATCTGCAGCAGGAAGGGGTGATCCAGAAGCTCCTGCGCTGTGGCTCGCTCCTGGGGCTCCCGCACCAGCATCCGTTCCAGGAAGTCTCGAAGCACTGGAGAGACCTACGGAGACAGAGACGACAGCAAGAGGAAGCCAGGGCTTGCAGTCCCTCTCGGGGACCTCGCTGTCTGGCCCCATAATTAAAGTCTTGAATTCTCTGGTTTCTTACAGCTCATGGTACTTGTTGGATTGCTACGTAGGTGAAGGAGGGTGCATCAGCCCAGGACCAGAGGCCACCTCGCTTGTACAAGCAGCCCCCAAGCAACGGAATTAGGGTGTTTGGAAGTCTGGGGAGCTGGGTTCCTCATACAGCCCACCCCACTTCCTGTCTCAAGGCTCTGGACTCCCTACTCATCTTGCGGCTCCAAGTCTTGGAAGACTGGTGTTGGGGTGAGGGTTAGGGTCAGTGTTACAATGAGGGAACCCTGATAATTGCTTTGCGATTTTGGGGGGTTCAAGTACCCCGATTTTTAGGTTCGGGCTCCTTAACTCTGGTGTGTGGCTGAGGGTGAGGTTACCCCAGTATTAGAGTTCAGGGCACCCCATTTTGGCCAGTTTTCTGTTGGTCTCCCTGTCCAGCTGTCTGGCCACAGAATTATTTTGCCACTTAAAGAGGTGGGGTTTCAGAGATGTTTCATACACTGGCCACCAGATGGCAGTGCTGTTTAGTAGGCGTGTGCTGATCTGGCAGGGTTTAGAGTGGGGTTGGCAGGAAAGGAAAGGGTTAAATCCCAATCCCCCCTCCCCCTGCTCTTCCTCTCCCTTTCTCTCTTCCCCTCTTTGTCCTCTCCTTCTTTCTCTCTTTCTGATTTTAAAGGGAAAGCTGCATCATTATGTGTGGTGGAGAGGTCTGTGCCCAACCAGGCTTCTCTAGATTCCTCCCCAGGAGAGTAGGGATTCCTGGTGTCTTTGGGGTCCCCACTCACGGACATTCCTCCTGTCAAGTGCCTGCTGAGAAGTCACCCACCCTAGCACTGCAGCTGCAGGTGGAGTTCGTGTGTAAATGTGGTTCCACACTCTGGGCAGAATTTATGTGCAGAAAGATAAGCCTAGACTATCTCTTTGATGAAGGCAAGAAGCTGAGACTGGCTGAGAGTCCAAGCTCTTGTCCTGGTCCTTCGGGAGAAATGGGGTCTGTCAGGTCACAAATTCTGCATTACCTACCTTGTGAGAGTTTTTCAGCTTGGGTGGGGGGCTGTCCCGGAGCCTCTTCATGGCTTGCACAGGCGAGTCACTGAAGTAGGGGGGCTCCCCATCCACCATCTCAATCACCATGATGCCCAGAGACCAGATATCCACCTGCAGAAGGAAAGTGTCCCTGACTGAGTCAGCTCTTTGGTGACCTGTCTCCTTCCTCCTCAGCCAGCTGCTCTGTGTTCACTACTTCCTGCCTGAGTGGCCAGTGCTGTGGAGACACATGTGGCAGGCCAGCATGTACAGGGAAGCCTGTGCCCCTTGACCTGGTGGGGGGACCCACACCTGGCAACAATATGCAGGTGAGAACAGCCCCATCTCAGAGAGGGGTAACCAATCCTACATGAGAACTTGAGAACCAGGCCATTTGTGACAGGGCCTGCCAAGGGGCCACAGCAGAGGAGCTATTTGGGGAAGCGAGGGGGCGGGGGAAGGACTGGTTACCTCAGTGGCATATAGAGACCTGGAGATCACTTCAGGAGCCATCCAATAGGGGGTTCCCACCAGGGACTTCCTTTTGGGGACATCTTTGCTGATCTGAGCACAGAATCCAAAGTCCGAGAGCTTCACCTGGGATTGGAAAGGAAGGAGGTGGAGGGCCTGGAAAAGGAAGGAGGCTGGGGAAGTGAAGGGGTGTGGTAGGAAGGGACAGTGAGCCTACCCTCCCATCGAGGGTCAGCAGGATGGAGTCACTCTTGATGTCTCGGTGGATGACACCCTGGCCATGCAGGTAAGCCAGGGCCTGCAGCACAGCCTCACACACAGTGGCAATCTGCTCCTCATTTAACCTACACAGGCCACCCAATGGAAGAGAAGGTGAGCTTCAGCAGGGCGGCTGGGCAGGGCAGAGGGGTCCATGGCACAAGGCCCACAACACCCAGGCAGTGTTTAGCAGTGCAGTCAGGCCAAGGCCCTGGTTATTCTTCTTTCCCCCAGGTCTTTTCAGCCAAATGCCACCTGAGCCTCATGCCCAGGAAATGGAGGGCAGCCTCCGGTGGGGCCCAGGCCTCCTAGCTGCCTACCTGACTTGGGAGATGATGTCTGTGAGGGCCCCGCCCTGCAGGAACTCCATCAGCACCCACAGCTCCTCTCCCACCAGGTAACTCTTGTACATCTCCACCACATTGAGGTGCTGGTAGTCCCGCATGATCACCACCTAAGGCAGAGAGGCCTGAGTGAGAGGCATAGCACCCTGGGCATGGTCACCCTGCCGTGGCTGCTCATGGATGTCCAGCCTGGCCGTACGCTCACCACCCTCCCAGGCCCACCTACTCTTCTCCCACCTCATTAAAGAGCAGCTCCCTGCGCTGCTGCTTCCTGAGGTCCATCATCTTGACGGCCACCTGCCGGCCTGAGTGCTTCTCCCGGGCCAGGCACACAATGCCCGTGGAGCCCTCTCCAATCTTCACATAGCTGTCCAGCAGTAGCCGGGGGTCACCCTGGTCCACCACCATCCTGAGTGCAGCCTTGAACTGCTCGTGTGTCACAATGCCCGTGTCCTCACCAGCCAGGGCACCCTTGGCCACTGCGGGATCCTGGGGCAGGTACAGGTTGCTGGTGCTGATCTGGGCATGCCGGGTGCGGGGAGAGCCTGCCGGGGAAGAGCGGCCCGGGAGCGGGCCAGCAGCTGGGGCTGTGCGGAAGAAGGACTGCGGCGGGCTGCTGGTGTCCAAGGCAGGCAGAGGACTAAAGGTCCCCGTGGGCTGGTCTGAGGGTAAGGACTGGGCCTTGGCCACCAGGCTGGGCGGAGAGTCCTTCTGTGGTGGTCGGAAAGCAGAGCTGGGCTGCAGAGACAAGGAAGGCAACAAAAGGGCTGTGGCTGTGGTGGGAAGGAGCAAGCTCCCCAGGTGGGCTACTGCGCCACCTGGATGCTGGCATCAGGCAAGGTTGCACATCAAACTGGGGAGGGACTTCGGGCAGAGATTTCCAAAGGACACTGAAGCCCAACCAGAGCCCTGCTGTGGATTTAGCCCTGAGCGCCATCATGCATAGGCTGGACAGCTTCTCACATCCCCTCTGCTCATCCTGGGAAAACAGACAGCTGAGTCCTTGGGGTGTTCCTCAATCTGGGCATTTCTTCCTGGGCAAATGGCAGCCAAGCCCAAGGAGGCCCACTGTGAGGCAGAGGGCCCCTCCCCTGCCCCGTGCTGTGGGGTTCCCCATGTTGGCAGAGGTGTCCCTGGGCAGGGATGCCACAACTAGGGTCAGAAAGCCTTTTTGTGCCTGTGGCAGAGGGTCTGTATGTCTGTGTCAGGGCTGTGGGATTCTGACCCCAGCAGAGGACTACAGAACGGATCTGGTGCCACAGAGGCCTGGATCAGGAGGGTAGGTTCAACCAAACCTAGGTCCTGAGGCCAGAGGTGGGAAGGTGTCTTAAGAACTCTCCAGAGCAGCCCCTGTGGTTCTCCAGGAAGGAAGCTCCTGGCTAAGGAGCCCTGGGCAAGGGCGAGAAGGCAGAGTGCCAGCCCTTTCAGCCTGTGGAAGGGAGGTTGGAGGGAAGGAAGGTAGAGCCAGAGGCAGTCTGGTTCCCCAGGACACCCTGTTCAGGCCCAGCCCTGGCAGTCTTTCTTGAACTACACCTTCGTGTCCTGAGGTAGGGAAAGGACCCACCCTTCCCTTTTCCCCAAGGAGCTGGAGAAATACAGGAAGACCTTCCCAGGGATCATGAATCTGAAAGGGCACCAAGTGAGGGACTGGAGGGGGGGTGGACCGTGGAGCCCCACATGGAACCCCTCTGCATCCAGCACACTGGCAGCTGTCTCCTGCCTGTGGTTGCTAGGTTTGATCTCGGAGCTGAACTGACTTACAGGGAATCACCTCATTCACCTTGGCCTGGGCTGCTCATCTAGGTTTCAGTCTCTGTTAGGACTGGCCAGAGCTTTTCAAGCTCTGTGGCTGCTCTGATGCCCATCCCTGGTCTTGGGGCTGGGTGTGGGGTCAAGCAGGTATAAAGTGGGCTGGGGGTGCTACCAGCAGAGAGCCACAAACCTCCCTGCCCACAAAGTGGGCACTGGCCTCTGGCAGACTGTGCCCACTTGCAGGGTAGAAGCCAGAAAGCCTCCTAGGACTGCCTGGGCTTCTTTAGCCCGAGTAAGAGTATTGGACCAGTAAGCAGATTCCCATGTCCCTGTCTCACTATTTCTCCACTGTGATGGGCGGATAGGACCTCTGGCTAAGGCTTCTGGACCTGGTCTGCCCTGCCCTGTGATGAGTAAGTGAGGGCTCACTCCACAGTGAGGGGGGCTGTGTGCAGTGATCCAGGGCCGTAGATGAACCACAGATTTCTGTGCCTCGGAGTGTGACTCAGAAGGTCCCTAGAGATTCTATATTTTCATAAGATCCCCAGCTTTGGATGTAAGTGGCCCAACGCCCACGCTTTGAGAAGCTTAGGAGGAGCAGACTCCATAATTCTGGGGCCTCAGGGAACTTCCAGGAGGGCTGGGGTGGAGGGTAGGGGAGGTGGTGGAAGGACAGAGGCAGCACAGCCACCGCCTACGCTGTGATGCCATGTCCCAGGCGTAGGGGCTTGACAAGACGACCACAGGAAAGGACTGGGAGCAAGGTGAGGCAGGGCTCACTTCATCACTCGATCACCTAGCAGCCCCAGGCCCTGTAATAGGCTCAGGACTGAGGAGGTGCCTGCTGGCCTGCAAGATGCGTACTGATTCAGAAAACACGCTGTTTTGGAATGACCTGTGTGTGATGGCCAGAGCAGGGGGCCACTGAAAGCACCCTGGAGACCACTCAAATGGTCCCTTGCCTTCTCTTCACCTGGAAGCTCCTCATGCAGCCTTCAGGTGATTTCCTTCCTTCACCTCTGATCTCAGGACTACTGTACAGACCCATCCTGCTCTGTGGATGGGTGGTAAAGGGGATGAACCACGTGGAGGGGCGAAGATGGGGCTTCTCTCCCTACACCCTCTGCCAAAGCCCCTGTGGTGACAGAGCTACAGATATAGATTAGCCCTGAGACAGAGCCTGAGTCCTGGGGCTGGGGCTGGGTGGGACAGACAGGAGTCTAGTGCCAGTGTGGTTTGGGACATGGGGGTGAGGCTGTCTCTGGTCCCCAGCGTCCCACTGTTGGCCTTGCTGCCTGTTCTAAAAAGAGGGAGGTTTCACTTAGTATAACTTCAGGCCAAGACCCAACAAATCTCATTAAATCACAGAGAGAAAGGGAATGGGACAGGCCCCAGCCTAGTTACTAGCATGACTGAGACGTGGAATGGAGACCACAAGAGTAGTCAAGTGCTGAGTTCCTCTGACGCCTTGTTTTCCCTTCCACCTGTGCCTCTCCAGCTTTGGGTGGAGGGGGCTGCACCCTAAGGGCCCTGAAGGCAAAGGCTAGGCGAAAACAGTTGTTTTATTTATTTATTTATTTTTTGGCGGTACTGGGGATTGAACTCATGACCTTGAACTTGCCAGGCAAGCACTTATTCTACTGAGCTATCTCCCCAGTCCCAGTTTTTGAAAAATAATAAAGCCATTCATTGAGGGCTTATCACCTCAACTGCCTTCAATGCCTGATCTCATTTAATTCTCATAGCCCCATGGGTTACTTCATAATCCCTTGGGTATTAGGACCTTGAGGCCTCTATGACTGCTATGCAGCAGTCCTGTTGCTGCTGTGAATCTCTGGCATAAAACTAACACAACGGAATACAGTAAGTGCTTCGCCAATGTTTGCCTTCCCCTTCTAAGTGGAACCACTTTTACCCCACTTCCACCCTCAGCCCCTAACCATCTTTGGTCTACCTGCTCCCTTAGCTCTTGAGCTACACTGCCAGAGCTTAGAATGGGAGCCCGGGGGCCTGTGCTCAGACCTCCAGAGCCACACCTGACCCACAGGCCTCGGGCCCGGGGCACTGGCATACAGCTGTTGCATGGGAGCTGCCATGAGTGTGCAGAGCCAGCTCCAGGGTTCTGTCTGGTACAGAGAGCTACTGGTCTGTCCTGGGGGTTCTTGGGTAGTGGGGAAGATGAAGGGATACTTGGCAGTGTCTGGAGGTATATTTGGTGTTCCAACCAGGAATGCCTCTGGTATCTAATGGGTTCCAGCCAAGGTGCTGCTACAAAGCACAGGGCAGGCTCCACAACAGAAGATGATCTCGTCCAAGTGTCAGCAGCAGTGCCACAGAAGCCCTGGCCTAGACCAGCTCACAAAAACCTCCGCCCTGCCTTTCAGGGGCCTGGCAGGTCAGCACTTAGCTAGAAAGGTATGCCTGCTGGTGGGGCCTAGAAAATCCAACCCCCTGGATTTGGGGCTGCTCAGTCTGCACACCCAAGGTGACTCCACTGGCTTCCATGGTGGCGATGCCCCAGCCCATATAGCAGCAGGGGCTACAGTGGTTCTCAGGAAGTGGGAGGTGTGGACAGGTCTGTGTCCCTGCTATGAGGTGCTGGTAGCAGCCCAGTGCCAACCCTTCTCTAAATCCCTGAAGCCAGCTTACAGGACTGCTAGGTGACCCAGAGGGACCAAGCTTGGATGTTCACTCCCGAGTGCTGCACACTGCCCTGCTACCACCTTAGTCTCGGGAGAGAATGTCTCCTCAGGGACACGGCCCTCCAGAGACCCCTAAGCTCAGACATTCATGTTCCTCACACACACACATCAAGCCATGTCCTAGAGCAGCGATGGCAGACCTTTCAGAAACTGAGCACCCAAACTGCAGCCCAAAGCCATTTATTTATTGCAAAGTATCAGGTTTTAGTTTCGAAAAAACAACATGACAAGTTGGCTCACGTGCTGACAGAGAACACTGTGCCTGTGGCAGCTGTCATCGATAAGTTCACCCGTGACAGCCCTGGGGAACCTCAGTCTTTTGTCCCAGTGAAGGACTAGAGTGCATGAAACCAAACCATCCCTGGGGACTTTAGCTGGCTGGAACCGAGAAAGCTCCCAGGGCCAGGATGTCCCTATTTCCATTTCGGCTGGGCCTCACACTATCGCCAGTAGCAGAGGTCCCAGAGCCCTCCTGAGGGCGAGGGGAGGCTCTGGCACTTATATCACCCACCGCTGGGCCCTGTTTCTCAGGCCTGACTTAAAACCCTTGCACTCCAGCTGAAGTTCATGGTGCCTGTCTCTCAGAAGCTAGAAGACACCTGGTTGCCACGGTTGTAAAGCCTTTTAAGCAAAAATGTGGAGCCCACACAGTCCAGAACAGGCCAGGGAGCCCCGAGCAAGTGCCCTGTCCTTGCTGCCTCCTCTGATCCCCTCAAGGAACCTGGTGTTGCGTCACCCTGAGTCAGTCTGCTGTGCCAACAGGGAAAGGAGTAATTGCACACTTCACAGCATGTTGCAGGACAGGTAAGGGGCAAAAGGTGCTCCAGTCTGCCTGCCAAGAAATGTCCCTTCACACTTTCCTCTCTCACAAGAAAAAGGTACAAAGACTGCTCTGTGGCTCCCTGACCTGGGCAGATTCACCCTCTGGCTCCTCACGAAGCACACACTGGAGAAGACACGGCTATGGAAGTGTGAAACAAAAGAGCTACCATGGGTGGGGGTGGGGGACACAGAAAGAAGCGAGCAAGGACAAGAGGCAGGAAGGTCGTGGCCATGTGGCCTCCACGGAGCCCCTCTGTAGTCCTGGGGCAAGTGAGGGGAGGTGGAGTCCCCACTTTCCCAGACTGGAGCACATACCTCTCCTGGGGTGTCTGCCCCCCATGGTCCACCTGGACCTTGGAGGGCAGGAGTGTCAGCAGGTGCCCCGCACCAAATGGCCTGGATTACAACCTCTGACTCACACATGCTAAGCCTTTGGAGGCCAAGGGCTCAGCTGGCCCAACATAGAAGCCTCAGCAGAGGTTCATTAGTGGGCAGCATTCTGGTTCCTTACGTTTTCCCTGACTTTCCCTTCCCAAACCAGGCCCCATCCTCCTGAGTGCCCCCAGTGGGAAGCTTACCTTGCTTTGTGGTACAGGGCCTGGCTTGCTGCTGCCTGGAGGAGCCGTGGCAGGGGTAGACAGGAACATGCTTCGGAAGAGCCTGCGCTTGAGGCTGTTCTCTTGGGTCTTGGGACTTGGGCTGCCTTCCCCACCTGGCCTGCCTGAGGCTGAGCCCACCAGGCAGGACTGTGGTCGGGCCTCTTCGGAGCCATGCTTGGCGGCCTTCACCCCACGCCTCCCTGAGGCTGTGGGGGGTGAAGAGCTGGGCGGGGAACTCTGCAGGCAGGCACCCAGCTGCAGGCAGCGCTGCGAGGCACCTTGGAACTCAGCAGGCCCCAGGGACTGTGCCTTGGTGGCCAGCCCATTGGGCAGGACCCGCGGGCTCTGTGGCTCGGGCCATGGCATCTGCCTATGACCTGCTGGTGTGCCCCCATTGCAGCTGAGGTAGAGACCATGGGGGTCAGTGCGCTCAGACTGGGGGCTCTGGAGGTACATGTCTGGGTCAGTGGCCCAGAGCTCATCCCCTAGCAGCCCCAGGGACTGCGCCCGCCGCCGACTGGTGGGGCTGCGGCCACGCAGGGTGTTGGAGCTGGTGACTGACAGCTTCTGGATGTCATTGAGCAGCCCTGAGATATAGCCATCCATGGGCACGGAACTGCCCCGCACCACTGTCTGTAGGGGGAAGAGTAAAGACAGGTGAACAGTCCCTCTGTGGTGAGGATGGCTAGGGTCAGGGTCCAGGGAACAGGGCTGGTGAGCCTCCTGGGGAGGGGCTCTTGTGGCCCTCCCTTGCAGTGCCAGTGCGGGTGCTGGGCACTCATTTCTTTGTCTTTCAGTCACCCTCGGGGCCTACTGTGGGTCAGGCCTGGGCTGGTGCCATCCACAGGGACAGAGGGAGGATACCCCTTGTCTCAGGGCAGGCAAGTGGGCACCAGGGGTTACACTTAAGTAGGCCAAGTGGTGTGGCCTACTGAGTTTTGGGAGCTGGGGACAACGGGCAGAGGGCTCCACTGTGTAGCTCTTCCTGTAGCCTTCAGAGACATGCAGAGCCCACTGAGGAGCCCAGAGGCTGCCCCAACACACCCTGGGTTTATGGCCTCCACATTAACTAGCCCACCAGGACCCCTTTCCCTAACTCTTAATCAGGGTCTTTCGTCTTAGGTTTGGACCCACAGAGCTAAAGTTCCCTGGTCTTCAGTAAAAACAATAAAACCAAAATGAAAACAAAGGGGCTGGAGAGATGGCTCAGTGGTCTAAAGCACCTACTTGAAACAAGCTTGGCAAAGCACAGGGACCGTGGTTCGATCCCCAGCACCACATGCCAGCCAGACCCGCCCCCTGGTGGGCTGAGCTGGCCACACACATACACAATAAATAAAAATGTAATAAATAAAAAAATAAATAAATAAAAATAAAAAATAAATAAATATAAAAAAAAAATGAAAACAAAGAGGCTGGGCATGGTGGCACATGTCCATAATCCCAGCACTCAGGAGGCTGAAGCAGGAGGATCACCATTAGTTCAAGGCCAGCCTGGGCTACATAGTGAGGTCCTGTCTCAAAGAACAACAACAACAACAAAATTCCCCTCATCTGGAAGAAGCCTGGCTCTTTTGGAGCTCTAGGTCTAACTATCGGTCAGGAGATACTTATACTGAAGATGATTTGTGTTATCTGAAGTTCAAATTTAATCAGGCATCATGCATGATTGCTTGCTAACCCTGGCATCCCTTCCACTGTGTGCGCTCCTCTTCCTGGGTCCTGGTTCCCAAGGGAGATCAGCAGGAAACAGTAGACCAGCTCCCTGTGCTGCCAGCTAGGTGGCCCCAAGGGGTGTCTGTGGGGCTTCCTGTGGAGAGGCGAAAGAAGAACTCTTTACCTTCATGGGCTGAAGCTGCACACGAGTGATGCGTGAAGGGTCCACCACTGGCTTGGGCCGGCGCAGCGTGTCCAGGATGTTCTGCCATTGTGGCGGGAGGCCCACAAACTTGCCCTCTTTGGGGTCAAAGGAAGTGTGGACACGGTGTTGGAAGTTCTGTGGGGCGGAGATCTCAGGACGTTTCTTCTTTTTCTTGCGGAACATGGTGCCTGCAAAGGGAGAGCTGAGCTGTGGCCCAGGGACCATGGGGTGGCTACAGTAGCTGCTGGGCACCCAGCTTGGGGTCCCTTCCTCCCCGCTCCTGCAGAGCCCCTCTGTCCTGGCCTTGGGCTTCTGGTCTTGCTCATCCCCACTTCCTCAGGGAAGGGGCCGACTCCCAGCAGAATGGTTTCAGAGACAACAAATTGACGCAGGCCATAAACAAGGAAAAGAGGCGTCTGTCTTCTGTCTGTGCCACATCTGCGGAGGAGGCAGACACTGGGGGGTGTTGTTATAAAACTCAAAGCTCATTACAAATATCATTCATTGTCAAAGAAATTAAAAAAGGGAAGAGGAGGGAGGAAAGCTAGAAGACTCATTTTATGAAGCAAGTATGACCTTGATTCTTCAAACCAGATAAGAACAGTACAAGGAAAGGAAAATTTAACCAATTTCACTTAGGACTATAAATATGCAAATCTTAAAACTAGCAGATTGAATCCAATGGTGTGTTAAAAGGTTTTTCTTTGTTTATTCTAATCAGCTTGGGTTTGTCCCAGGATGATACAACAATAGAAAACTGGTTTGTACCATACATGACATTAATAAAAATCCAACCAGCTGATTCAGGCATGTTGTCCTGGCTGGGACTGAGCACTGTAGGAACAGGGAGCCCCCAAAGGGCCCTCAGGACCACCAGTACATTGTGTTGATTCCAGAAGGGGCCCAAGCTACGGGACAGCCTGGAGGTGGGGGTGGGGTAGCTATTTTAAGGGCAAAGCACTCCAGAGAAGCCAAAGAATGCCTGTCCCTTTGGGACCCCTCCTTGGTCACAGAATTCTGCACAAATCATCCCTGGTGGTCATCTCTGTTTGCCTCACTGATTGAGGCTTGTCTCAGGTCCTCTTGAGCCCCAGTAACAGGTAGGAGTGACACTGGCCTGCCAAGGACAAATGACTAGACCTAAGAGAAGAAAGCTGGAAGCTTGAGAGCTAAAGGGACTTCTGAGGGGCTGACCCAGTCTCCCCTTGGGGAGTTAAGGGGGTAGTGGGCCTACAATCACACAGTGATGGGCCCAGGGTCAGGGTGCCCACTGGAATACTTCTGGATCCAGAGTGGCTAAAACAGTTCCATGGGTTCTTATGTCATCTGAAAAGGCCACTTCCATGTTTCTTTGTGTTGCTGTTGTTTTAATTTTTTTTTTTTTTTTTTTT